ACCCCCAGATTCCCAAGCCTTCCAGAACGCAAACTTCAGGTTGGTTACCAGATGTGGGGTGGGGAGAAGGGCTGGCTGGTGGCCTTGTTTCCCACAGACAAACTGGGGACTTGGCTGTGTAACCCTTAGTGCAGCCACTGGCCATTCCAGGCTGCATCGTACCCCAAGAGCAGTGACAGGAGCCCAGTGGTGGAACTGCTGTCTTAGCATAAGAGCTTTGTTGGTATAAGGTAATTTGCCATGAAAATGGTAGACAGTTACTTCAAAACACTTAGATTCCGGATAAATGACAGTGAATGTACTTTTTAACTGCATTACTGAGATCACAGAAGAGAAAACACAAGAATCCTTAATGGCCATAAATAATAAGCTCAAACCACAGAGATAGTTGGATACAAAGAAATCTGGGTTAGGTGTAGCTCAGTGGTGCAGCACCTGCCTGGCCAGCACAATGCCCTGAGTTCAATTCCCGGTACCGAAAAAAAAAAAATTTTTTTTGCTGCTTGGGGTAAAAACAGGACTCAGTTTGAGAGATGGGCTTCCTGGGGACAGACAGAGGAATGTGAAAGGGCTCTGAGCCCTGGTTCCTGGCTTCTGGCTCCCTGAAGCGGGGGTGGTGGGTGCCTTTGGCAATGGAGCCAAGCTGAAGACATCTCTGCCCTGCCCTTGTGTGGGAGTAAATAGGAGAACCTCACCAGCGTCTAATCTTAGGTCTGCTCTCTCCTGGGCCTGGGCTTCGGGTTTTCAACACTTCAGAGGTCAGAGAACTCAGGCTGAGAAATCAAGATGATTCTAGGCTTGTACCTCCTGGTGTCTGACTGAGAAATGCAAGCCTTCAGAAGAAAATTGTCCTTAAGGACCTTCAGGAGTCTATACTAGTACATTTCAACCCTATTATAAACTGTTGAGAAAAATTACTGACCGTCCAAGGAAATTAGTCAATAAGCAAGAGTTAGCAGAAGCAATGATTTATTTAGATCCCAGGACTTCAAGTATTGGAGTTATCAGATGGAGACTATAATCATTAGAAACTTGTTTTTGTTGTGTTTTTCTTTTGAGACAGGGCCTCACTATGCAGTTGAGACTGTCCTGGAACTCACTATGCAGACCAGGCTGGTCTCAAACTCACAGCGATCCTCCTGCCTCAGCCTCCCGAGTGGGGATTACAGTTTTATTTAGATCCCAGGACTTCAAGTATTGGAGTTATCAGATGGAGACTATAATCATTAGAAACTTGTTTTTGTTGTGTTTTTCTTTTGAGACAGGGCCTCACTATGTAGTTGAGACTGTCCTGGAACTCACTATGCAGACCAGGCTGGTCTCAAACTCACAGCGATCCTCCTGCCTCAGCCTCCCGAGTGCTGGGATTACAGGCATGCGCCACCCCGCCCAGCTAATAAGAAACTTCTAAACAAGATGCTACCCCCCCCAAAAAAAATTAACAAGACAAAGTGACTAGATTTGAAAATAGGAGGATCACAAGGTCAAGTGGAATCATATATCAAATGCAAGGCCAGTCTGTAATACATAGCCACCATCTCATAGAGAATAATTTGTGAATTGACATTACTCAGTATTATTATTAAAAAGCAAATTCGAGGAGCCGGGATTTAGCTCAGTGGTTCTGCCACCTGCTTTGCAAGCTCAAGGTCCCGAGTTCGATCCCTGGAACCACACACACACACACACACACACAAACACACAAAAGCAAATGGGATGCATCTGAAAAGGTTAGTGACACCTTATCAAATGACTCTGTCATACAAAGATGGAAATGGTCAATTAGAGGGAGAGAACCCTTCCATAGTCTACCAAAGATGGCTTAAAGAGCCAAATGACTGGGGTTTCTCAATATAAATTTAGGGAAATAACTGGCCTGGGATAGCTTCTCAGGATGAGCAGATGCAGTGATCTGAACTCACCTTGCCCATATGTGTTTGTTTCGGTCTTCTGGTATTTCATACGCGCCCGCTACCCCACCCCATAGCCCTTCATGCCTCACAGACTTCATTGCCTAGCCGGGCGCCGCCTGGTGGACAGAGATGGACTTGCTGTTTTCATCTAAGATTCCTATGCAGCTACTTTTGCCTTCCTTTGTGCAAAAGCCTTTTCTGAGACCATCTTTCTGATAATATTCTCAGGGTACCTCCTACAGAGTTCCAGAAATGATCAGGTGTTTCCCTGCCCCCCACCTTCCAAGCTCTCCCACCCTCTAGGGCACAGTAGCCTCCCACAGGATCCAAGGCCTGACCTCACTCGCTCCTGTCATAGTGGCCCCTGCGCTTCCAGTACCAGAGGAGCCACTCAACGTTTTTCACTTTTGGCGGAGAGTAGCTGCTGGTTGCGAGGAGGCCCCCACTGTGTGAGCAGGCAATGCACTTACTCTCTGCAATTCTGTAACTTGGGGCCACTGGCAGTGCCTGTGCCCTGGGCTGTTGTGAAGGTTAAATGTGAACATGGGTGTCAGAAGCCTCTATAAATAAGGTTGCCCTCAAGCCCTGTTCCTCTTCCGGCCAATCTGTGACTCCTTGAAGGTTTATATTTACCCCCTGAACCTTGCACGGAGCCCTTCATTTCAGCCTGGTAGAGGCCCTTGAAGGCTTGGTGTGTAGCTCTCTCAGCAGCAGGGCAATGACCAGTATCTAAGCTGCCACGAGTATGCGGCCTAGCACTGGGCCAATCCCCAGAACAAGTCTGGCCATGTGCAGGTGAGTCATGGGCACAGGTGTGAGGAGGGTAGAGAGGCAGGTGCAGGGTGGGGGTGGCAGCTCCAGCTTTGGAACTCTACCTATGCTGACCTGGCTGCTAACATCAGCTCAGGATGATTCACCAACCCAGCACCTGCCACAAAGCCGGGGCCCAGAGGCTGCTGAAGGTGCTGCAGAGTTGCCCAGAGGTGACAGGCCCAGAAGGTGGTGACTGAGGCTGTAGTTGGCCCAGCTCAGCCCAGGACTGACTGAGAGGAGACTCTACAAACTGAGAGAGGTGCCACATTGCTAAGACCTTGAATACCAGGACAGGAAAGCAGGGTTGAAGGGCAGGGGATGCAGCTCAGCAGTGGAGTTCAGCCTGACAAGCGATTCCTAATACTGAAGCAAAGTCAAGCTTGGATGCCGGCTGTAGCTCAGTTGTAGATCTCCTCCCAGCATGCACAAAGCCCTGGGTTCCACCTCTAGCACAGCCAAAGCCAAACTTGACGCCGAAGAAAGTGGTGGTGTCAAGCTAGGGACTTAGTTCAGTGCCTGCCTTGCAAGCACAAGGTCCTGAGTAGAGGTGGCACTGTTTTGAGAGCCCCTCTCCCTGCCGCTGCTTTACAGGATATGGCCCTTGGCCAAGGGCAGAATGAAGCTGGTAGCTTACTGAGCTACCTGAGGGGTGTGCACGCACAGGACAGTGACAGGAGACGAAGATGGAGGCGAGCATGGGCTCGCGACGAGGGGCCTCGTTACGGACCATGTCCCTACTGCCCCAGCCTGGCTCAAACAAGTCCTCCTGCGGCTGTGACTCCAGCTTCCCATCTGTGTCCACCCCACACTCCCTAGATGCTGCCCCGCTGGGCGCCCTACACCCCAGGTTCCCTTCTGCACCCCCGTGGGCTGCACTCTTCCTGCCCACACGCCTCTCCAGGCCTCTCAGCACTCACGGCTGAAACCAAATGACCATCCCCAGAGGCCTCCCCTGACCTTGCAGGATGAATGTTCGTTCCTCCATCTGTCCCAGCAGCCCAAGCCTTCAGCAAGGGAGGAAGGGACACAGCAGCTTATTAAAATAAAGTGTTAGCCAGGAGTGGTGGCTCAAGCTATAACCCTGGCACCGGGGAGGCTGAGGCAGGAGGATCACTGTGAGTGTGAGGCCAGCCAGACTACATAGTGAGACCCCATCTTAAAATGCCATAAATATAGTTAACACTGTGCAGCGAGGTGCCTGGGCTGCTGGAGGGCTCACCGCCTCTTGGTTTAAAGATGGCAGTGGGAAGTCTGTTTTGTCTTGCAGTGCTGGGTATGGAACCCAGGGCCTCCTGCATGCTCAGCATGTACTGTACCACCGAGCTACACCCCAGTCCTAGTTTTTTAGCTTTAGCGTGTTTTTGTTCCTGTTTCATGGAATTGTAACAGAACAGATCACAGAATTATTTCCCGCAATGAACCAGAAGCCTGGGGTCCAAACTTCAAGCCAGCTCAAGCCCCACATGGCACAGATGATGGTAGCACAGTCCGGGAGCTGCCAGGGGTCTGGGCAGTGAAGGGGGCCGCCTGGCACAGAGCAGGCTAAGGAGGGACCCCTACTCTGGTCTCCTGCCTGAGCAGCCAAGCTGGGCAGAGTCACAGCAGAGACACCGTACGCAGGGAAGACCCCGCCCGGAGGCCCGGCCTGCACACCCTCCGGCACCAGTGCTCTGGACTGCCTTTCTGGTCAGGTCTCAGCTGACCCCCAGGGGGATCAAGAACCCTGAGGAAATGTCACCAGCCAGTCAGCCCTGACTTAAGGCCTGCTGTGGCTTCCTCAGGATGAAGCGTCTTCTCAGGGCCCAGCTTCCCAGCTGTCCCCAGCTCATTCCCCTCACCCCAGCCTCAGCCTGGGAGACTCCTGACCCCAGTCTCTCAGACCAGACCAGATGCTGCCCTGTGTTCTCAAGGTGGCACGTGTCTTCCCCTTCCAGAAAACCACTTTAGGGGTCCCTGTTGGCCTCTTACAAGCCTCTTACCCAGGAGGGCACCCTGTGGCATTATTCTCCTGGCTCTGCTGTCAGGTGGCAGTGGTGGTAACAAGTCCAACCTGGCAGGGGAACAGGTCTCCCCACAGGAATCCATCTAAGCTCTCTGAGACCCCGAGAAGGCTGTGTGTGGGGTGAAGCCAGAACCCCCAGCAGATTTCAGACCATGTCATCCCCTTTCCCAGGCAGAACCCCAAAACCAGGGTCTATGAGGGTGCGGGACCCTGAACGGAGGAACACCAAGACGAAGGAATCACACAGATGTGGGAGCTGGAGATAGAACCGGCTGATTTTAAACACAGGCTTCCAGCCTGTTCTGGTTAGGGAGACACAGAGCCCATGGCCTGGCCTCACCAAGGGAAAGAGAGGACACCAAAGGTGATCACTGCCTTTATTGCCTCTGTACTGGGGTCTCAGGCTAGGGTTCAGCGGACTCTGGGGGCAGCAGGTAACCTAACTATTGCTACTTGGCAAAGTCACCTTGGGGCTTCCCATAGTGCCCTGAGAATGGTTGGGATATAAGCATGCAAATGACGTCCAAACCAACCTAGGATCCTCCAGAGATCCCTGGTGAAATGTGGGTGCTGGAAGAGTCAAGTGGGCCCAGAAGGGTGATGGGGACACCCAGGTCCTTACCCCACACGGCAGACTGATCCGGCCCAGTCTCAGGGGTGAGGTTTGTGGGGTTGAGGGTTCCTGAGCATCAGCCCTGGTTCTGCCACTGGTTGGGGAAAAGAAGAAAGCTGGCCCCCAAACAGCAGGAAGAAAGCAGGACACTGCTGGCCAACCAGAGAGGGAAGGGACCTGCTCAGTCACACAGCAAGAAAGGGGCAGAGGAGACAAGTCCTCGCCTCCTGAGCCAGGTGGAAAACTAGATGCCTGGGAGGCTGAAGCTACAAACAATAAAATGTACTGATAATAAATAAATAAGCAGCCTGGTCCCTGATCCCTGGGCTGAGCCCTCCCCCAGCTGGCAGGCCCAGGTCTAGGAGGAGGCAGGGTTCTTGGTCTTGGTGCTGAGGTGACCGGTGCAGAGACAGGCAGGGCTTTCCCGGTCCTTGGTGTAAGCAGCTCAGGCTCAGTTGTTATTCATGATCCACCAGGAGGCTGTGGGTCAGAGGTTGGGGGTCAGGAGCCATCAGGGGCCCCACCCCACCCTCCTGCCCCAAGGGCTGCAGCACACCTGGGAAGAACACAGTGGTGAGGATGTCCGGGGCCCGAAGGTGGTCAATGAGGATGCGCTGGAAAGCCTTGCTGCAGGGCGCGTGATGGTGCCTAGGGAGGGCGAGGCCAGATGGGACCAGGCTGCAGCTGCCTGCTACCAGATCTGGGCCATGCTCTTGGGTCACCCCCACCCGCCTCCGGCCTGATCCTCAGGCCTTCTCCGTGCTGGCTCTGAGCCTCTGTTTTCTTTTCTTTCTTTCTCTCTTCTTTCTTTCTTTCCTTTCTTTCTTCCTTCCTTCCTTCCTTCCTTCCGTTTTTTGAGCCAGGTCTCGATTTGTAGCTCAGGGTGGGTTTCAACTCACTACGTAGCCCAGGCTGGCCTCGAACTCGTGGCAAACCTCCTGCCTCAGCCTCCCAAGTGCTGGGATTACAGGCGTGTACCACCATGCCCAGCAGTCAGTTTTCCCCTATGTGATATGGGGACAAACTCTACTTTACTGGGCTCTTGTGCGGACTGAGTGAGGTCTCACACAAAGCATCTGGTATAGGGTGTGGCAGACTCATTTGATGCCTACTGTATACCAGGCACTATATTCAAGATACTTTGTTTGTCTCATCTTTATTTTGCAATATGGAGATCAAGCGTTCACACTGAGCTCCATTCCCAGTCCTTTCTATTTATTAATTAATTAATTTATTTTTTGTACCAGGGATTGAACTCAGGACCTTGCGTTTGCAAGGCAGGCACAGTGCCACTGAGCTAAATCCCCAGCCATTTTTTTTTTTTTTTTTTAAATTTTGAGACAGGGTCTTACTAAATTGCTAAACTGCCCAGGCTGGAATGAAACTTCAATCCTGCCTCAGCTTCCCAGAGTGCTGGATTAGAGGCACACACACCACCATGCCTGGCTTGTACTCAGTTTTTTTTATACATCATCTCATTCAGACCATCTGTGAGAGGTTAGCTGTTATTACTCCCACTGTGGAAAACAGGACACTGAGGTTCTGACAGGTTAGGTAGCTCATCTGAGGTCACACAGCTGGTAGGTGGGAGAGCAGGACTTGAGCCAGGTCTGACCTACTCCAGGGCCCATACTCACGTCAGCTGGTGGACCACCACTCGTACCTTCTCCAGGAGGCTTCATCCTGCCAGAACTCGTACAGGTTGTAGGAGGTGTTGTCCAGCATCTTGTGGGCAGACACACTGTGGGGCCAAAAAGATGGCCAGGCCAGAGCTGCCACCACTGCTGCCCACTAGCCAGTCTCACGGACACTCTGCCCAGCACCCTTCTCTGCTCCCTCTCCCTGCCTCTGCCACCCCACCAACAGCCGGACTCACTGCAGACAATGACTCTGGGCCCCTGTCAAGTCCATGTAGCAGCACAGGGCTTGATGGAAGTCCTGCAGGGCGTCTTCTGCCACCTGCACCTGCCGCTGGGCCACAAGGATGTGCTGGCGAGAGGGGCAGCCAGTCAGCTGGGGTGGGGCAGGCACGGGAGGCGACTCCACCCTTCCTGACACTGGCCCTCCCTGTGGTCAGCCCCTGCCACTAACGAGCCCCCAGCGTCTTCGAAGCCTTCTTCCAAGGTCACGGTCTTAATTCAGCCTTTGTCTCTTCTGCAATATGTCACACCACTTCTCACTGTCAACTCCAGCCTTCATCCACTGCCCAAGACCTAGGTTTCAGATATGCTGATGTAGGAACTGACACCCTCAGGGGGCCATAATTTCTACAGGGTCACAGAGACCCGAACCAGACCCTGTGTGCCGGACCTCAGGAGGGTCAGATGTACACTGCTAGCTCTGTAAGCCCCTCGCCTTGCTGAGCACACAGGGCCTCACACCCAGCAGCCTGTCCCTCCCTGGGCTCACCGAATCAGGACCCTTTGCAAGGTCCTCTTCATGCAGAGGCTCCAGCCGGGGGGCCTGTGAAGGACACAGAATGTAGGCCAAGCCCCCAGTATGTGCCTGACTCGAGCTGATGCCAGGGAGGTCCTCCCCAAGGGGCGGTGGGCACACAGCCTCCCACCTTGCACTCAAGCTGGTCTATGAGCTCCTGAAGACGGTTGACCTGAAGCCGCCACTGTATCTCCGCTTCTGAGCTCTGCCCTAGGGATAGATTTCAGGGAGGGGGGTCAGCCATGGGCCCCTGAGGCTGGGAGAACCCAGGAAAAACTAGGACACGAAGAAGGACCAGGCACCGGGGGCACAGGAGGACCCTCTTCAGCCAGGCCTCCCACTCTGCCTCAGGCACACCTGTGTGAGAAGAGCCAGGAGACCAGGAGGGCGACCAGCTGGCGCTCCTCAGGGCCCTGCGTCCTGCCCGCCGGCTGCTGCGGGGCCTGCTCTGTACTCCCACACTCTCTTCATCCGACCTAGGGGAAGTACAGGGTCAGCCCACGGCCCCCCCGACCCACAGGGCCAAGGACTGGGGTCGCAGGACAGAACCAGGCCGGGATGGGGCAAGACAGGCCTCTGGGATTTCCTGACCCCACCCTGCACCAGCCTCCTCTTCTCACCTGCTCACGGCCTCACTGCCCAGTGCGGGCTCCAGGGTGCTAGAACTACAGAATGTGATGACACAGAAGGAGGTGGAGTGCGGGGACAACGGGCACTCACGCTCTGGACCCACAGGCGGGCAAGGCCCTGGTATACGGCGGGCCACAGGCCTGTGCCTCCAGCGTGTCTGATGCCCCCTCCAGAGAGTTCTGCAGAGCCTGGAGCTGGTTGGCTGTCTCGCGCAGCAGGAAGCGTGTCACAAACTGGTCCACTTTGGAGGCCTGCTCATACTCCTAGGGGCAGAGGGCCGAGTCGGCATCTCCCAGCACTGAGCACATTTCAGAGCAGGGAGCTGCCTCCCTGGTCAGCTACCTCTTGCCCATCAGAGCAACAGTTAAGGCAGCAATGCAGACTTGGTGCAGCAGGAGGACTCTGCACTCTGGTGGGCAAGGGGCGCTTACAGCCTCCTTGGCAAGGCCCAGTGTCTCTTCCTGGAGGTGTGAGGCCAACCCACAGGGAGCATCTGCCAGCTGGCGTGGCATTTTTGGACCTCAGATTTTCTTCCCTGCTGGGGCGACCATCTTCAGCTTCACTACAGCCAGTGAGGCCTCCAGGCACAGTAGGGTGGTGGTTAGAGGATGTTCAAAGGTCAATTTTAACACGTGCAAAATAATGGTGTGATATGGCCCTGTCCCTACCAGAGGGCCCCAAACTCACGATCTACATATGCATCCATCTATCTATCCATCCATCCAACAGCATCAGCTGTGTGCCTTTGCTAAGAGGTACAGACACATGAGCATCAATTTGCTGTCCACACACCACCCCCATCCTGCAGGGGAGGCTGACTATGTACCAGGCCCTGAGCTGCCTGTCTCAACTCTCTTCCCCTCCTGTGCTCGTTTTCTCAGCTGTTGGAAGGTCTCCTCAGCTAATTCCTATGTAGGATTCCACCCAGCACCTGGCACACGAGCTCTCCATATAGAAACTGTCATGGTTGTTGTTGGTGCTGAGGATTCCACCCAGGGCACCACACGTCCTAGGCAAGCACTCTCTCTACAGCCGAGGTACACTCCCTATCATGGCTTGTGTCTAGTTGTCCCCCAAAGCCTCGTGAAGCCTTAGATGGGATCGCTTTAGAGGTGGATGAATCCAGAGTGTGTAATTGATTCATGGTGCAATGCTAGGCTCAAGGGCACTGAGAGGGTGTGAGTGCTGCCCACCCTAAGTAGTCTGGGTAAGATAAAGGGGCAAAAAGGCTGTTAAACCCCCTTGTTGCTTTTGCTGTCTTCTGTTGCTATGAACTATTGTCCTTTTGCCATGTGCCATCCTGCACTGCAGCCAGCTGATTATGGAAAACTCTACAAACTGTGAGCTAAATAAGCCTTTTCTCCCTTAACTTTGAGTGTCACTTGGAGCATACAGGATCCCCTCTGCACAAGATGAGACAGGGATAAAGTGGAGACTAGGTTCTGTCATTCTCAGACCAGTGATTTGTGTGTGCATGGAATCCTTCCAGTACATTTTCTGCTCAAGATGACAGCAGTTTCTGTTGATTGCCACCAGAGAACCTGGCTGGCAAAGCACCTACCTTGTGCCAGTCACTGTTCCAAGAATTTCACTTAATAGGCCAGGTGTGATTATACACACCTGTAATTCCAGCACTCAGGAGGCTGAGGCAGGAGTATTGCCACAAGTTCGAGGCCAGCCTGTACTACCTAGTGAGTTCAAGGTCAGCCTGGAATATACAGAGTGAGACTCTTTCTCAAAAAAAGGAAAAAAAAAAAAAAAAAGAAAAAACCCAACACACACACACAAAAGAATTCCACTTAGGCCTCATAATTTACAGGAGCCATAACTGACCCCATTTGCAGATAAGACTGAAGCTTACAGAGGTTGATTAATTTGGCCAGGGTCCACACAGCTAGTGACAGTGCCAGAATTCAAACCCAAGTCAAAAATTCTTTTCTAGTCACACTCAGTCTTTTACACCCATTGCTTCCTGTATGATTATTATTAGCCGAGTTGTTTGGCTGAGAAACCAAAGCCAGGAAAAGTCACAGAGTGAAAGAAACCAAGAGTCCCCTGGGTTCTGGGAGGAGGAGCTCAGAGCCTGGAGCTGATGAGGTCACAATGTGATCTCCAAGACAGGGCCGAGACAGGGCCCTCAGCCAGAAAGCAGGGCGGAGGTAGGCTGGGCTGTGGTCCTACAGGTGACCGGCTCTGCCATGGGTAACAGCATTTCTCACAAGAAGACCAAAGCACCCAAGCAGGCCAGCAAGGAAAGGCCACCAGACATGGACAAGAGCCAGGGGAAACAATTCCCCAGCCACTTCAAGCAGAAGCCAAATGTGAGTGAGGCGAGGGGCTGGGAGGGACAAGCAGGGTATGGGGGGTCCTGGACAGAAGGACAGGTAGGGATGCTGGGAGTCTAGACCAGTTCTAGGGACATGAGAAGAGTTACAGGATTCCCCTTGGAAATGAGGGTTCCAGGAGCCCACACAGGTCTGTGTCACGGTCCCAGAAGGGTAGGCAGGGATTCAGAAATCAGAAGGTGCAGGAGACCTGGGGGTTCAGAAGGGGAGGCAAGAGGGCAATTCTCTCAGCCCGGTCTGTGCATGGAGGTCAGGCATAGGGACGCAGCCCTCCGTGGTACCAGCGAGGCTATGGACACAGGGATTTCCCTCACACCTCCCCAGTAGACAGCGATATCCCATCACAGGTCAGCCTGGGGTAGAAGAGGGTTTCCAGAAGGGAGCGGGGACCTGGGTGAGCACAGGTGGGGAGGATCCCTGACCTCAACTAGAGAAGACTGTGCTTTCCTGGGGCCTGATGTGACAGTGTGAGACCGCGCGGCAGGCCGGCCAGAGTCCCAGGAACACGGGGAGAGCTCTGGGGACGATAAGGGTCCCTGGGAGGAAGGCGGGGAGGTCCCGGGTTCTGGCTGGGCCACAAGGGCGCTCTTTCCCTCAAGTTCCGCCCACCCCAGGCCAAGATCGTGCTGCTTTTCCCTCTGAACAAGCGGCAGCAGCGGACTGCGGCGGCGGCGGGTCCGGGCTCGCGGCCCCAGCGGC